AATAAAATCCAACTCTGATGTTGAGATTCTCCCAATGTGATCTTTGCCAGCACCATCATCCAGAAGTTCTTCTTTAGTCTTATTTATTTAATGTCTGACTTCCACACGCTTATAAGAAGAGTGATCATGCCAAGGCTTGGGATAGAAACACCTTAGTCCTCAAAGTGACGTAGTTACTCTTGAACACGTTGAAGAGGTGTTGTACAGCAGACATGCCCAAGGCAATATGTGATTTCATTTATTGACTGCTGCTTCCATGAACATTGATTGTGGATCCAAGCAAAGTGAAATCCTTGTCAACTTCAAACTTGTATTGGGCAGTAGTGTTTGGACAAGCAATATTTTGGCTCCACAGCTTTATCTAAATGACATATTTGATTGAGTCTCCAGGATCCCTGGTGGGGTAGTGGTTCCGCATTGGGCTGTGATCCGCATAGTTGGTGCTTTGAAATCACCAGCAGCTCCACAGGAGAATGACGGGGTTTCTACCTCATAAACAGTTACAATCCTGGAAACCCTGCAAGGCCATGGCTATGAGCCCTCATTGACTCGATGACAGTGAGTATGGTTTGGTTTGGCAGGATGGTTGTAGCTTTGTAACTATATTATCAATCAGACTCATTCTGTTCTTACTTATACTGCACTTTTGTTGAGTGGCAAATGGCTCAAAATTGACATAAATTTTCATGGAATACAAATATCACTATATAAGAAAGAACTACATATAATACTACACTTAAAATTATATCACATATTAATGACTAAAAAGAAATAAAAATGTAATCATATAATTTTAAAAGCTTGGCAATATATGTAATACCAAACATTAGTTTTATCATGTTTCTAAACTAAGTCATTATACTGGACATTTGCAATAGTAAATAAGCACACAGCTTACATTGAGGTTAGTTGAGAGCAGAACATTTTTAATTCCTCTTTCAATAAAGCCATGGATGACGATGTGTTTCCATCAATTTATTAAGATTCCCTTACTCTATTTCATGCTCTCAAATTGGCTCCCGTCTTCTGTCTTGTGGTCTCAGAGTGACACGGCCTCTCGGGCCTCTGCTGCCTCTAGCACTCCAGTCAGGGATCTTACACTTCCACTGCTGGTGCCTCTTCTTTCTTGATGAGCGCATGATCCCTTTCTTCCTGCTTCTGAGATGACAAGCTCTTGTATCCAGCAAACGTGAATGGCAAAATTAGTCAATACCCTCTATAAGTATTTCACACACCCAGTGTTCATGGTTCCATCCTGGGTGGTGTAGTGGGTTTGACTGTATACAGCATGTTGGACTGTATACAGTTTGGAAAAAACTGTTCTCTCTTTAGGAAAAAGCTGAGGCTTTCTGCGCTTGTAAAGACAACAATCACATCTGACCCCAGGGATAGTTCTGCTCGGTCCTGGAGCGTCCCTATGAGTCAGAACTGACATGATGGCCATGAGTTTGGTTAGGACTTACCCCGTCATTTGGTAGGAGTTACAAAGACATGGATAGAGGACCCATAATGTGTTTCCCTTCACCACAATGTGCAGCTGTAACCTGTCGATTTGTAACCTGTACATATCTTCTTAAATATATGTAGCCATTTTCCCCCTGGATCTTTTTTCTATTTTATCCATGTCTGAACATACTTTTATGGTAACTTTTTCTTTATATCTAAAACAGCTATCCAGTATCTATATGCATGTTTTAAGCTTTCAGATGTCTGAAGGGTCCTGTCAACCTCCTGCCTGTCTTTTGGTTGTTGCTGTTGATAATCATATAAATATTTTTATATTGATGTATCCACCTTCCCTATTCATCCTTTTTTGCCCTATTCTAACCACAACTATATCTCCCACTGTACCACATTTCTGTGGGTAGGTTTGATACGTCATTGCAATGGCCACAACGAGCTCACAGACAGTGCTCAGGATTATGGGGTTAATTAGGGAGGTTACCATTCAAGTGAGAATACTCAAAATCCAGTAATTAAATCAGGACAATTTAGTCTCTGCTGTGCCCAGAGGCAGACCTCCTTCTGGTCTTTAGTCTCTTGTTCTGGCCTCTGCTCTGCTCAGGCAAAGTTACAGAGCTCTTTTAGGGCTGCCAATAAATTCCCCAAAGGCATGCCACTACACTATAAACCTCAATCCAAAGGCTCTCTGCTTCAGCTCCTTGGGTCAGTAATCGCAGATCTGTCAATTAAGTGCCTAAAGGCACCCATACTCCACAAGCCTGACTCCTGCTTAAACGCATTCAATTTTACATGATCTGTGGCAGGAGCTTTGGTGGTATTGTGGTTATGCACTGAGCTGCTAGTAACAAGATCAGTGGTTTCAAACCACCATCCACTCTGTGGGAGAACAAGCATACTTTCTACTCCCTTATGGTCTTGGAAACCCACAAGGGCAGCAGTTCTATCCTGTCCTGCTTGGGTCACCATGAGTTGGAATGGACTCAATGGCATTGGGTTGTTGTTCCTTGCTCTGTGGGCTGGGAAGTCCACTGCTCTGGTCATCCTCTAGCTTCTGGTTCTGTTGCTACTGCTCCTCTGCTACTCCTCTGATGTCAAAGCTGTCTCCTGGATCAAGGGGCGTGAATGTGCAAAAAAACTCTTGGGGTACAAAGAACACACTCTATTCCTACATCTTCACTTTTCCTGGTAGTTGGATTCCCCCTTCCTGCTTCTGAGATGGATCATTTCATACCCAGAAGAATGACAATCACAATCAACCCTGTTAACAATCACTCACAGCTGAATCGTATAATCCAAACGGTATCTTCCCCCATTTTCTTACCTGGACCCGTCAGGATACGGGTTATATCATGGCAGTAACAAAGACTATGGCAAAAGAGCCACAGTAAATAATTCACTGCATTGAAGGATAAGTCACTCTACGTGTTTACATTCATGACCAAGGTATAGACTGCACTAGATGGAAAGTAATGAATCCAGAATCCAGAATCCAGAATCTAGACATGACTGCATAATGTATGCCTTTTGCTGGAGTTTATAGGAAAACTTTTGGGGGCTTGATTGCATCCATTCACAGAATTTGAATTTGTAACTATTAGCTCAATATGAACAACTTCTTATTTAAAAAAATAATGACACTGAGAAATGTACAGATTTTCAATTCAGGTATAAGACAGGAGCTTGAAAATTTGAAAGTGCAGACAATTAATTACACTCATTTAAAAAACTTGATAGTCCACGTTAAATAAAACAAACAAGCAAACCCGGAATGCTTAATCAGTTACCCATATTTACATAAAAATAAGCTTCAGAAAACTCTACTTCAAAAAATGTTATTCCTAAGAGGACGTACATGCATACACAAATATAAAATATGAGGCCTACAAAGATACTTTGACAAGAATCCCTGGGACCAAAGGCATTAAAAATACGGAAAAATTAAAAAATTATTGTGAGTATAATATATAAGGACCAAAGTGGCACAGCTTTGGAAACAATGAACAGAGATCCCTATGCCCTCTCTCCCTCCATCTGCTCTTTCTGCCGTGACCACTTTGTAGCTTGACACCTTCTTGATTTGAAGCAATAGTCTATGTAGTACAATAGTAAACCCTTTATATCCAATGGAGGAGAGGGGCCGAGCATGAGCCAAAATCATGATGCCAAGCAGAGATGCAAGGATATAGTCAAGGTTAAGAGGTCTTGAGAAAAACTCTGGAATCACAAAGAAATGTTTATATAACTCTGAGAATATTCTAATAGTAAAGTATGCAAGGAACTCAAACTTCTGCATAACAAGATAGTATATTTTATATTGGCTTGTGATTTTTAAAGATCAAAAATGATGTATTTATGTTGAAATCTTAACATTTTTATATTTGTTTTTCCTGGAAAAAGTAGAAGTTGAAATGCAAGATAAATTTAACATTTAATTTTACATGTTACTGTTTTGTAGCATTCTAGAGTTCAGCTAGATAGATAATTCTTTTTACTGAAATATTTTAAAATCATCAGTTTTCTTCTAGATAAAAATAGTTGCTTCAGTAGACTACCTGCAATGGTCCATTAAATGTGGAACTCCTGATCTAAACATGTTCTAGTAGAGAGACCCTGTTCTTAAGCCTTATACAGGACAAAGACAAAGCAAAGACAATCATCCTGGATGAGGGAAACTATAGCATGTACATAATATAGAGACCAATAGAGTTCACTGACTCATAAGCATGATTTTCATTATATAGGATGAAATGAAAGGAATGTATCAGAAGATCATGACTGGCGGTAATGTCTATTCTTCGTTGTCACAGGTGAATTTACAGAAGTGGGGAAAGAACTACAATTGGGAATCTTACAAAATTGTATTTTAAGACAAGTTAAAAGTTTGGCTCTAGGACTTTGATTATATGGCCCTATAGTCACAGTATGACTCATAATTGTGAGACTCCTAGTCATGATCACAGGACTCTAAATTTTAAGTTAAATTGGATAACATGAGATTGATTGACTACTTTGACAAATTAAGTGTCAAGGCAAGTTCCCTACTTCTTGTGTGAACGCTTTCTGCATAATTTTAACCACTTTTAATCAGGGAGGGCAAGCTGCCCCTCCCTGAGCTTGCTCCAGTCTTGTCTAAACATAGCCACATTGCTGGCTCAGTGGTCCTCATAATGTAAATTTTCTCAGGATGCAAGTTTAATTATGTAGTCACAAATATAGAGACTGATGACCAAAATTACAATAGATAAAATAAAAACTAAGTACATACACCAAACTACTAGAAGTCAAATTCCAAATTCTGAATCTTCCGTCTCCACATAAAAGCTAAGTATAAAATAAAGTGATAGAGGATGTATACACACACACACACACGAAACATAAATATATAAACATATTAAAGTTGGTGATAACATCAGTTTAATTAAATAAGTAGTTTCATTATTCAATTAAAAATATTAATGAGATACTGCAGAACATACATTGTTAGCTTACTAGAAAAAAATAACTATAGTTTTGAAAACAATTCTTTATTGTTTGTTTTATTTATGGAACTCAAATAGTTTCACTTTCTTGAAGAATAAACCATGTATTTTAATGGCCATATCTTTGAAGGCGATTTTCACTTGATGGTTCCTCAGAGTGTAGATGAATGGGTTCAAGAGAGGGGCGACTGAGGTATTCAGCACAGCTACTCCCTTATTAAATGTGGCTGCATCCTCAGCAGAAGGGTTCATATACATAAAGAGACAGCTTCCATAAGAAAGCGAGAGCACAATCATGTGAGAGGAACAAGTAGAAAAGGCCTTTTTCCTTTGGTGAGCAGAGGGAATTCTCAGTATTGTCCTGATAATGTATGTGTAGGAAAGAATCACTAACACCAGTGTGACTATGAGTGTCATTCCGACCAGGATAAATTCAATCATATCTATGATGCTTGTGTCTGAACAGGACAAATGCAACAATACAGTGTAATCACAGCAATAATGGTTGATGATGGATGCACAGAAAGGCAGCTGGAGAGCCATTGTATGTGGTACAACAACTACCAAAAATCCAGAGACCCAGGAGCATAGGACAAGTTGAATGCAGAGCCTCCTGCTCATCATGGTTGTGTAATGCAGGGGTCTACAGATGGCAACATAGCGGTCATAGGACATGGCAGCTAAAAGGTAAAATTCAGTCGCCCCCAGAAGAATGGCAAAAAAATACTGAGTGAAGCAACCGGCAAAGGAAATCGTCTTGTCTCCAGTTCCAATGTTGACTAGCATTTTGGGAACAAACACAGTGGTAAAGCAAATTTCCAAAAAGGAAAAATTCCGAAGGAAAAAATACATAGGACTCTGGAGGCGATAATCCAACAGAGTCAGAATGATAATGACCGAATTTCCCATAATACTTAAAACATAAGTTAGTAGTAGAAAAAGGAAAACCACGACTTGAAGGTTGGTGTCATCTGTTAATCCAAGAAGAATGAACTCTATCATGGATGTTTGGTTTCTCATCATTAACTTCAGGTGAATTAAACTAAAGGATGATGATTAAAAAGAAAAAAACATTGGACTAGTCGCTAGAACTAAAGACTATACTTATTTCTTAATATAAAGGGAAATTCAGAAGCAAGTTGAAAGGAAGATATTTTTAACCAAGAATCTTTTTTAAACATCTTATATCTGAATAACAAAAAATAAGACAAAAATCACATAAAAAATAACCATTATTTGAAATGTACTTCCTATTTAACAAAGATTCTGCTTTATAGAGAAACTTTCAATTACATTATCAAAATTGTATCGTGATCTATTTCTTATCTTTGTTTAGATTTTCTTTCTCACCATAGTTTTTCAATCCTAATTTTCCTTCAGAAGCTACTGATGGTTGTAAAATGTCCACAGAAAAAATTAAAGTAGATTTCAAGAGAATTAAATATTTTGAGGCTTTAAAAAAATTGACCCTTTAATTCTTTATTAGCTAACAAAGAAAATATGATCCAAAATATGAGCTATCAAAAATGAACTTTTAAATTATTTTTCATATCCTTTAAAAATTAAAATGTATATCTTAATTAACTTATATTAATCAAAACATGGAATGAAATCACCTTTTTTGTTGAGCTTTCTTCCTGTAAAACTATCTATCCAGTGACATATAGTATTTCCTTTAAAAAGTCAGATAATATTTAGCTCTCTATAAAAGTAATATTCTCTAACAATTCTAATGAATAATTATTGATTCTCCTTGTATACAAATATTTAACATAGCATAAACATAAATTACGAGCTTCAGTAAATTATTCTTTGGTAATTTCAAGTATGCAAGTCTTATCTGTCCAAATTACAAAATAAATAAACTGCCTACAATAGTCGTATTTCATTACTTTGTTTTTAATAGAACAAGCATATTATACAGATATCACCAAAATTTTAATGAAAATTTTATTTTTCTTCTTCATAGTGTCTGAGCCTTATCTCACTAAATGCTAGAGTTTCATTCAAATCAGAAGCTCCAATTAAGTTTGTGCTTACAGTTCTTTAGGACTTTCTTTTTAAAATATTCATTATCATATATAAAGAAAAATTACTATTTATCTCACTATTAGCATTAAAGATTCTTTGAATTGCAATAATTAAATATTTCACTGCATACACTGATGAATACTAAGATTGCAATGTGAAGTTATCAATAGTTACATATCTTATCATACCATTATAATATAAATTTCAGAAAGATTTCATATGGACAAAACACTGTCTTTTGTTAGGTTTGACAGACTGCTTAGTAAAATTACATGTGAGAAAAATTCAGGAATCCTAATATGTTATAACATGGGTCAATTGGCACTTTTTACCAGAATTGTCTCATTCCTTAAAAATTTCAAAACTTAATTGCAAGAATCAAATATACCGATGCATTTAAAAGTTATAATATGGTCAAACAATATTTGTATTGTTAACAAATAAATTCTACTTTGTCAATGAATAATTTATTTCATTGAATTAATAACGTAACTATATGTGTTACTTGAAATTATAACTGCCAATTCCTTAATGTATTATAGGTATCATGCACATTTTGAATATTTACTTTATGCCACTTCTGTTTCCCTGAAGTGGAGTTTTTGCTTTTAAGAGTACAATGAGAAATTAGCAGTCAGCATTTGTTTTGCACCCAGCCGGTAAGAGAAGCTGCACCTGGCTTCTTCCCAGGGAGCTACACGCAGGACTCAGCACCAGCCCCCAGTTTGTGAACACTAGAGGTTATCACTGTTTGGCTTATGTATTACTCAGGATGATTTGGTAGGTTATTTTTCAGGGGTCTGGAAAAATTAAAATATATTTCCTTATAAATTTAATGATGCTTGCTTCTTCAATGTATGCGATTTTGACCTACAAAGGGTTTCATAGGGATGTTCATGTTTCATGCGTATTGGGGGAAAATGATTTTCGTAAATTTTATACTGAATGCAAATGAGTGTGGAAAATGAAAAGGAAAACAGGCAAAAACCAATAGTTTTGCAAGAGGGCTTTATATTCACAGACATATCAAGAAACTACATTACTTCTACTAGGATAAAACCATTCAATAAACTGTAAATTCATTCAAAAGCACATCTGAAACTTGAAGAATTGATCAATCAGTGATGATTTTTGTTTCTACATTATAATAGGTAGATTTTGGGAGATAATTTGATGACATAGATTTTTATCTTCCAATGTGAGCTCCTAGATATTAGTTAAGATAATACTAAATATAAAATCAACCACAGTGATAATTTTTATATAAGAAGAAATAATCAGACATCCTTTTTGGTATAATAGAAATAATAATTCTTTATAATAAAAATGAATGTTCTCTGAAAACTAAAAAACTGAATATATTAAAGAACTGCACTTTAAAATACCAAATTCTGAATTTATTGGAACAAATAATAAAAACCTTCCTGTTAAGATTTATTTAGCAAATATATATGGTCTATAAAAGCTTTACAATTAGGATAGTCAAGATAAATGCAAGTTTTATTTATGATTAAAAGCACATGCTAAAATAGCTCAATCAATGACTTTTTGCATCAGTTGTCATGAACTAAATGTTTCCCAAATTAACTCCATACCTCTGGCTGAGCAGTGGTCTACTTCTGTGGTGCATCTTTAAGTTTTAATATTTTTCTTAAATTAGGAAGCAATCAGTGCAGTTACATTACAAAGAAAGCTAAGAAAATAGAATCCTTGGGAACTAAGAATGTATATTGTGAAAACTACTTTAAGTTCCATTTTGCTCGTTATATTCACTTTAAGTTGAATTGTGTGAGGATCGTGTAACATTCCCTGCCTGGGGGGAATGGACAATGCATGTTAAAATGTTAGGCTTTCATGACTCGCTAAGTATCTAGCTACAGGATTACATGCAGGAATAAAAAATAGACAAATCATTCAGAGAACTATGAATGTGTCCCTCAATTCAACCTTAAACAACCCTCTCCTACCTCAAGTAGAAGGTTGAGTTCTAGCCTAGCTCCAAACCAGCTACTGTTGAGGCGGAATAAGAGAATATGAAGGCTTAAGGCCCCTAGGGAAATAGTCCCAAGCTGTTGTGAATATGAAAATCTCAGCAAGCTATTGATGGAAACAAATATTTAGATTACAGAAATGATTCATTCAATTATGTCAATTAACTTTCTCACATACTAAATAATGTCCCTGTTTACGCTGAACTTGACATAACAATTTCCATTTCAATGAAAGGAGAAATTTGCACAACAAAAGTGTACATTTTTATGATGCTAATGTGTGGTGGTGATAATATAAGGATAGTATGATAGAATGAGGGTAATAAAATTCAAAAATTACTGAGAAAATGTATTTGTATGTGTATGTTTAGGTAGTGCTTAAATGGGGGGTATTGACTCTTTCAATTATTTTACCAAAATAATAAACATTATTCAATCCCTTATATGACTTCCAGGATTGGTGCTTATTTCTTGGGTTGGGAAGGAAAAATAGAAAATGAGAGGGACACATAATGGAGTGCTACAGAGAAAGAAAGTGCTTTAAAATTGGGAACTTGTCCAAAGAAAAACAGCCCAAGAGCTGATCTGAAGGAATTCCTAATGACCAGAACAGAAATAATTTGAGAAACAAAAGAGATAATAGCTAGATAGTATTTTAACCCATATGGTATAATAAATAGTCCAGAGCCAAAATCAACTTACATAAATGATTGAGTAAACAAATAAAGGAGGGATAGAATCCCAATAACTAAGTTAGAAGAAAAGTTGGAAATAGAAAAGAAGCATTAGGCAAGCAACATATTAATTGTTAGATACATTGCTAGATGAAAATCTACCAACGAATGCTAAAGTTTGTCATCCCAAATTTGAGAACAGATTTGCTGTGTCAACACGATTTCCCTCAAACATTTAGAAACTACAAGAAAAGATGGTAACTTTACAATGCTGTCATCATAACTCTGACTATGAGAATCAACAGCAAGTCCATGCCTGTGAGGTGGAGGCCAGATATGCCCCTGTCCTGCCACATTTCTGAGGCCAGGCATTCTCATTTTCTCTGTTGAGTCTAAGAATTCATGGGGCATATCTGGAGAGCTTGTGAAAACAATGTAACCGTGACGACTCTCAAACACCACAAGACATGGACAAAAGTAGAGAACATTATGCTTTGCAAACGTAGTCAATCTGATAAAGATAAACACCATTATTATAAGGAAAAACAAAGATAAAGGAACATGGCTTTTATACCAAAAGGCAAAACTTTAAAGATTATGAGGAGGCCAGGGATGGGGGTGGAAACAGGGAGAGGGGAGGGATAGGAAATTACAGAGAGTGGGAGGAAATAGGGAGGGGGCAGAGAAAAAGAACCACGCTTATGAAGAGTTTAACAGTAGATTATTACTGGTTTCAGTTGATGAGATGGGCTGTGTAACTATATTACAATTTGCTTCTTTGAAAAACAAAATACATTTTAAAATAACAAAAATGAGAGTGAAGGCTCACAGCCTTAAAGAAATTACCCACAAAAACTTCCAGATTCCTTACTTCTTAGACCATCGGTTCTCATCCTGTGGATCATGACCCCTTTGGGGGTCAAACAACCCTTTCACAGGAGTCATCCAATTCATAACAGTAGCAAAATTACAGTTATGACGTACCAACGAAAATAATTTTATGTTTGGGGGATCACCACAACATAAGGAACTGTATTAAAGGGTCGCAGCATTAGCAAGGTAGAGACCCACTGCCTTAGACTAAATATTGGTCTGAGTGACTAAAAATAGGAGGGAAAGTAAAAATGAAATGAACTTGGAGTTTTTAGTGACATAGAAATTCATTTCAAATATTGAGAGGGAAAAAAGGAGGCAATTATCTCATAGAACTAATGACCTACCTGAGTCACAGCCTCTTTAGCTTGAGATCAGAAGAACTATGATTCCCAACTTCCATACCTGCCACAATGACAAGAACACAATAAAAGGTCCCAGTTAAAATGAGATG